GACCTGCGTGTTTGTGGTTGTTGTCAGGTTCTTTTTCTTCTAGTGTCGGATGTTCAAAATGTTGAAAGCCCATAACAGCTACCGCTGTAAAAGAAATGTTTGCTTTGCCACGACTGGATCCGGCTCAGCGTTAGATTCTATTTATTTTCGATCAACATTGCAGGTTCCTGGATTCCGAGCCTTTCTACTCACAGCGAAGCTCAGCAGGCGATGCATCTGGTTCTGGAGTTTTTGGCAGCAGACCCTTCGTCACAGACTGTTGGCATTACTGTGCTTGTCGACGACCAAGGGCTCAGCATGAGTAAACTTTTTTCGGCCAACATTGCTTTGTTGAGGCAATGCACAGAATTTATACTGGTGAGTTCTAATATTTGATGCTATGAATATGAAATCTTTTATTGCGCATTATCCTGACTAAAGTGGGGCACGTGAATATTACGCCAGAAGCTTCTTCCATACCCTCATCACCGCAGCCACTGTTTTTCCGCGATGTACAATAAGTCCGCTAACAAGGAACAGAGGTCAGGTTACTCGTCATGGCTATGTCTTCCCTTGTTAGTCCGCTGAACGATTTGATACTATGGCTGGTATAAAACTGTATTTTTAGGCACATCCTGAACTTATCTTACTGAGTGAACCTTTTTTTTTTCGTTTGTAGAGGGAGTAATACTTCACTGTCTGCCTAAATTAACACACATCGGTAGGATTTCTATGAAAAGTGAACTACTAGAATAAAAAGATTGCTCAGAAATGAGTAACATTATCACCGAGTCCTTTACAAGCCGCTTAATAGATGTTCATGATAGAAACGGGTATACATGTAATTCCAAACCGAAACGAAATTGTTATGACCACACATAATATCATATGTCGACTGCGCCAGCATAAGCTAATGAGAGTAAGCTAATTGGCCCCAAAATATTGTTGAAATGACATTTAGATTGCTGACTGTATGCACCCCATCTCTAGATACGCTTGAGCGGAGCTACAAACGCAAGCCTGTTTTCTGGAACGTTGTTTGGACTGCGTGAGTGCAGTTCGACCTTGAAAGTTCTGATTTTGCTCGCACTCATGATGAAACAGTGTATACCGCATCAGGTGGTTTCAAGGAACAAACTCAGGCTGGAAGGTTCAAGGTCAAACAAACACGGCTTTTATAGAGTGGCCTCCATATCAAGCTTTCAATATTAGTACTCCTCGACCAGCACAGTAACTGTACTGTGCGGAATTCATGCTTTTACTGTGTGTATACATGAGCGGGTGCATTTGATTCAATCGCTGTTTAGCAATAAGAAGCCGCTCGGAAATTTATGCTTTTGCAATTCTAGTGCATATAATTTAAATAATTAAATCCTTTGGTAAACTTCCTTCTTAGTTTCTTACTATCCCGCATAAAAGTGATCTTAAAGCCGTAGCATTCGGCCCATTCAGAACATTGTTCTGGTCCTACACAACGCGTAATTTCATCTGCAGACCCGGGTGTTTCTTCTGTTTTATGCAGTGCTAGATGTTCGCCGCCACAGTACAGTTACGACTGTGATACATTAGGATTTTTGTTGCCTCCTACTTATTTTTAATAGTCGTTGAAAAAGTGACCACGGCAGGGACGAAACGGGATTGCTATGTTTGAATAAAATTTGTATTTGTTTAAACTTGGACAGAGTGCTCTCTTTATAGTATATTGAAAACTTTCCGCTCCCATTCACGGGCGCGAAGTTGTAAGCACATAATAGGGAGTTTTAGTAGATCGTTTTCGTGCAGCCGCTCTGCAGAGCGGAGCGCGGAATCGCCACTGCGCCTGCGCACCGATGGCCTTGGCTGTAGAGTTCCGGGTAGCGGAGGGGCTCAGCGGAGCGGGAAACACGGTCTACTAAAAGTCGCTATTAGAGAGTTTTAGGGAACCGGAACAAAATACGATCGATAAACAAAAACGATCGATACCTTGGATCGGGCGTGTGGACCGATCGTGTGCCCTGAAACGGCTTTGGGGGAACCGTATTTGCAGACGACAGCAGACGATCGGTACAGGTCGCGCCCCCTGGCAACGGAAACCTGCATCCGCCTCATCGAGAAAAGACAAATTTGCGTTTGTTTGTACAAATCGCAGAAACTCAAGTAAATAAAGATCGCACCCTAAATATATAGAGAACCAAAAAAAAATAGTATACCTACTTATAGTTCGTCTCGTTTTTTTACTGGAATGAATGCGCTTCCGTAATACAAAAACTGGCGCACCACGGCGTGTCGCCCCTAGCACGGCGAAGTTCTAAAATGTTCGTCTGCTAAAGAAGCAGACGAGCTTTCCGACAACAATGGCGCTCGATCTTTTTGACCATGACTTGGAGTTGGCTCTATTCAGCGAAAGCAATTCAGAAAAAGTGATTTTGTTCGACTGTCTGCGCACTAAGTGTGACGTGAGTCTCTTTTGAACTTCGCAAGCGCGTGCCATGGGGCCCGTGACTTCTGCAGGGGCACGAGGGAATAAACATTCTTTTTGGTTTGCCGTGACACGGAGTCAGTCGCATTTCTTTCGGGTGCCACCGAGCACCGATACACTAAGAGAAGGCGCTTGTTGGCGGCAAGGCATAGGACGTTCAACTTGGCGTAGCTTTTGAGTAAACAAAAAAGTTGTGATACCAGAATGACGTGCGGATACCACGAATGATGTGCCAGCGTATTTTGGGTTTTTTTTTCTTTCAGTTTACCAGATTTATATACTTGGGGAATAAAATAATGCCTCGACCGTACATGGTAACTTGTTTTCTAATAAATCATGCGTTCTCAGCGGGCAAACTTCGGTGTTTTACATCAACAAATATGATGTTTACACCAACCACGTCCTGATATGCTGAAACGTTGCCGAAAGCAAACTCGATTTGGCACAAGAACACGCTCGCGCGCGCTTATCATCAACATTCGAAGTCGTCTGCTAGCGATCCTGTCTTTTTCCCTCGAGGCCCAATGCAGGATCGAGTATTAAGAAAGCTATGGACAAATAAAACTAGAAATATTAAATCTCGAAGAAAATACAAAAATAACCAAAATATACTCACTTTCTCAAGTTGATGCGGTCATTTTTCTTGTACAAAGCTAATTCAATTCAATTTTCAATTTAATTCAATTTTTATAGTCATAGAAAATAAAGAGCTGGCCCACAAAAGCAGCATTCTGTTTGTATGTGGAGCCAGGCGACCAACTACAATACATGTTGTTAAAAAAAAAAGAAAACACTCCGCAGCACAAAAAAAAAAAAGAAAAGGAACACAAAATTAGCAGCACAAATAAATACAAAAAGGAACACTTTAGAGCATGAAATATAGGTGTTTATAGCCAAGTCTACTCACGCAACCATGAAATAAAAGTACGAAATATCTCCAACGGTTAGGCTACGATATCTACAGCTCAAATGCTTGACACCAATTCCTTAGTTTCCTTTTTAATACCCTAGTGGATTCTATATTCATAAGGGACTCTGGGAATTCGTTACTTTCCATACAGTGTGTATATTTTTGAAATGACGTATTTTTCAGTACGTCTTAAATCTCTATTTTTATTTACGAGGAGGTCAATCCGTTCCTTCGCTCCTCGCAACGATAAGTTCTTTTTCAACGCTGCGTCATTCCAAAGTGCTGGAGCGAAAAAGGAGTAGCGCCTAGCAGCTCCTGAAGTAGAAAGATGTTGTCTACTACTGTAAATCGCTTGCGAGGAGGAGGCGGAGGGACGGAGGTAGATGCGGCGCTCATGTTGCTCTCTTACGGTACAGGTAGCAGACGATCACGGTCGTACGCCCGCGTACCGATCGTTGCGCCGTGTACGGTACGACCACGAAGAAAATATAAAGGAAAACGTGTAACTTTACTGCTGTGCACTTATTAAAACTATCACCAAATATTCAAAGGGCTCGTTTTATAGGATATATGTAATTAGCATTTGTACAGAAATTTTTAATTCATGCAACATTTTTAAACTAAAAAGTATCCAGAGCCTTGATGCAGAAGGCTGTTGCATACTCTGTTGCGACTACAGATAAACCTGTCATAACAGCAGCTGTAAAAAACGCGTGATAAGTGCTCAAAATGCACATCCAATGTTTCTAAAAAAAAAAAAAACTTATAATATGTAAAAAAAAAATTAAAAAAAAAAATTGTCCTGGGCTAGCGGGATTCGAACTCTCCACTACCGGTCGACTACGAGCTCAAGAAATCGGCGCTCCAATCCACTGAGCTACCGAGCAGACAATTTTTGGCTGCGCTAAACATCAATTTATTTCTATTAAAAAAAGTCCTATTGCGTTTTGTTCTTTATTTTTTGTTTTTTTATTTTTTGCTGACTCACACTTTATGGACTTGCTGTTACACATGGCGCTCCTGCCAGGCACTGCCACGAGTTATTTTATTCATGTCTGGAGCCACGGCACGCTCTCACCGCCAGCGAAATCGCCGTTTTGCTAACGAAGCGAGGCTGTCCATGTCGGCCATTGGTCGTGCCGGTCGTGCCTTACGGTTCCAACAGCGCATTACGGTAAGATCGCAGAAGACAGGCGCATGCGCAGTTCGTACCGGAGGGCCCATCGTACCGTATCGGATGTGCAAAAACGGTTCCCTAAAACTCTCTATTAGCGAGTTTTAGTAGACCGTGTTTCCCGCTCCGCTAAACCCTTCCGCTACCCCGAACTCTACAGCCAAGGCCATCGGCGCGCAGGCGCAGTGGCGGTTTCTTCGTAGCGGAGGGCTAGCGGAGCGGGAAACACGGTCTACTAAAACTCCCTAATGTACGTTCGCGTGCCACCACTCAAGTGACCACCATCCGCTAAATATTTCGGCCGATGTCTGCCCCACCAAGTTTCGAAAATTTATTTGATTCCAGGTACAAAAAAAAAAAAAGAAAAGAAATCTTGTATGTATTCTACGTAGATGTATCTTGTCACCAAAACAAAGTAGTTAAAGTTTTTTTTTTTTTTTTTGACATATTACAGAAGTGCTTGCCGTTCCGGCTGAAAGCCATCCACGTGATCAGACAGTCATTTGTCTATGACATCTTGATGTCAATTATTAGGCATCTTATCAGCAGGAAGTACGCCGAAAGGGTGAGTCCGGCGAGTGTTACAACCTAAACATAAGAAAGTTTTATAGGCTGTGGACTGTATGTTTCTCAGCAAGCCTGGAATAACTATATATAAAAAGAAATATAACAAGCTCAACTTTCAGCTGGTCCTATTTCTAGTCATTACCCACCTAGCTCAGCTTCAACCCTATGTACATTGTAGCGCACAAATTATAATTAATAAGTTCGGGCAAACCACGCCGTCATTATCTCGTTACGTTGGATTTGATTGGTTACAGACTTGACCAAAGGTGTCATTACTTGTCTGCTGCGCTGTGCTTGAGTGAAACAGTATTGAGATCGACACAATGTAAGCGCAGGCAAAAACAAAAAAAAAAAATTATTTACGTGTTTTAATGAAGTGCCAAAATGACGCAAAATCTAGCATTGCACTTCCTTTAGAGACTTGGTGCTCATAAAAGGGATCATATTTCATCAACGTAAGCTTCAATTTAGATTAACTGTTTCATTATCTGAATGTGAATAAAATGTTAGTGATTTGGGCTTGCTTTTTTCGACAAACAATATGTTTGAAAGCCAGGGTACACATCTAATGTAGCCTTGTAGAATCTGCCAATTCGGCCAATATTTTTGTTTTCTTTAGGATGATATCAACGTAAAGAGTAAAAACAAATGAGGCTGGGTCTTGCTAAAAATAACTTGCCGAAAACGCAATAAATCAGTCTAGCAACAAAGTTACTCCATTCACACTACTGTGCGTACCCAAGGAGTGCCCGCAAAGGCGTGTCAAGAATTTGCGGAATGGAAATAGAAGGGCTGTTCACAAACCACGTCGGGCGGCAAAGACATTTATTTTCCGGCGAGAAAGGGAAAATGTTCTTGGAGAATATTTTTAAGATCTGGAAATCTTTATTCTAGCGCTCCTACGGTAGTATGGCGTTTTTTGGAACTACTGAGTAGCGAAATGCTTCAAAATTCTAATATAATAAATAAAATTGATAGTAAAATAATTGGTCATGAAGTACAGTGGCATAGCCGCCTCAAAAAGCCAGCAAAGCCTAAGCGGTGGAAAAGATCGTAAACGCTCGAACCTTTTCGGACGTCCGTTATCGGGTTAACCTGAAACTGTGAAATATATTTCACACATGCAATGTGAAGGAAGAGGCAGCTTGTCAGCGATATTTCCAATACTAAATGTATAGAAATGCCTAGTAGGCGTCTTTTGTATGACATGTGAGCCGTAAGATATATGAAAGGGAACAGCCTGTCGCTCTTATTTGGAGCACTCGCCTGTCATTAAGGACGTTATGACCTAAGCTGGGGCTGGAACTCAAAGTTTACTTCCCAGTCTCTTATTGTGAGATTATGAGGGTTTTGGAGGTTGCAGTTATAGTAAAAAGGCAGATGTGGTTTTCTGCTTACATTTCTTACGACTGTACTATAAATAGACTGACTATGATACCGACCTCTTTATAATATATCGTAACAATCAAGACGGATAATGAAGTGAAAATTGTAATTACCTGTTTAATTAGTGAAGATAGACATATAGTTCTAATGGGGAACCTGCTGAGCTTTGTCGGAAACAACTGAATCGACTCGTTTTCGAAAGATTTAATACAGGGGCAGCATTTTAGGCGTTGCGGAATTGCGCTAAGTTTGGATGCGTTTATAGATTTCGGTTTCGTATCGGGGCGCATCTCTGTGGCCAAGGTCCTGCTCCCCAGTGGCGTAGACACGCAACACACGTGCGCCGTACATCCCTCCATCCTACGAGGGAGGCGAGGCGGCCACTTCGCGCCGCGACCACCGGGAAACAGAACCGCGGACGTCCAGTTGTGCTCCGATAGGAACCGAAACCTAGAGACGCGTTGAAATTGAGCGATTTTCAAAACGCTGTAGAATGCTGCCCCGGCTTGGTATCTTTGTAAAAAGAGTCGATTTATGGGTTTTTGACAACGCTCATCAAGTTTCTAATTGGAACCATAAATATATATTTAATAAGTAGACAGTTAATTAACAAATTGTACCTAATTTGCCGACCGATTATTACGAATAGCCCCCTATATTATGTCCCCCCAGCCGTATAACTCACCTCGACAAACCGCATAAGTGTAGCTTTCACGGCTCTTTTTAAACGAACCTGTAAAGCTTAAACGCCCCCTAAAATCACGAGCACTTTCATTCTCCACAGAGGAAATAAATGAAATATGCAGATGAATGAACCGTCACACTTGATCGAATGAGTCAAAGTTTTACGAAACCGCCGAATGTCAAAACATTTGGTGGAGCCAGGATTTTAACTTTGGGCCTCGCAATGTCCGGTCCGATGTTCTAACCGCTATACCATATTTATAGAGTATTTCACGTAAGAGTGACAAAAATTCCTAAAATCGGTATATTCGAGGTAAAAGAATAATCTCCTCGGAACCATATTACTCGCGGTGGTGGACGTCACAAAATGCGCGATACTTTCTCACTTGTTTGCTAATTATTTAAAAATGACGAATCAACTTCTTATTCAGTTAAAATGGACATATGGTTCCGATCAGAAACTTGCTGAGCCTCACTGAAAACCCCTAAATTAGTAATTTTCAGAAAAAAAATTGAGCGTGTGAGACGCGTAGTAGTGCGCTGAAGTTATGCCTCGTGGAGCAGGTACAAGGTTGGGGTTCTCATAAGAGGCAGAAAAATCGCGCGGGCGCCTTACCGCAACCGCTAGCCTTGTACCTGCTCCGCGATTGGTAACTTTAGTGCACTATACCACGCCTCTCAAGCACTCAGAGTCTTTCTGAAAATTACTTATTTACTGGTTTTTCATGATGGTCAGTAAGGTTCTAATTTCAACCATATGTATATTTGACTATTTAAAAATTTTACTTAGTCATTTTTAATTAATTAGCAAAATAATTAGTAAGTATCGCATATTTTTTGTCGTCCGCCAACACGAATAATGCGGTCCCGAGAAAATGTTTTTACTTGAAATGCACTAATTGTGAATTCTTGTCACTCTAACGTGGAACGCCATGTATATACATACACTCAAAACAGAGGCATTGACTTGATGCTAGGTCGAGACAAACATGTCCACTTTTCTCAAATGTTCTCGCAGCCATGCTATTACACTGTGTTGAAAATATCCTGAGATTGTGAGTTTTGTTGCAATAACGTTTCAGATTTGAGAAAGCGAGTTTTAATAAGAAAGGTTCGTTTTCATGAACGTGCGGTTGCACAAATGCTGATGCGGAGGCTTTGCGGCAACATATGCGTCGCGAATAATGACGATTATTGAATGGGTTTTTGCTATATCCAAGTATTCTAGTCAAGTGTCAGGCTGCTTCGTAAAATGCACTTCGCATTTATTAACATGAAAAAAAGTTCGTGAATAACTAATGCTTTGTTCACTTACCTATGGTGAATGCATAATACAGTGTATGTAAAAATATTATGTTCACTGTCATGTTTCTTTGGCATTGGTTTACTTGTGGTCAACTGTTACTTTAGAATGCCTTGCGTTGGGAAGCATGCTAAACATCGACGTACTGAGGCAACGAATTTCACGCTTCTCGGAGAAGTCGTCGATTCGGCGATAATGCTAATCTTGACATGCAGTACACAATTCGAGCGTGCTTTTCGGTCAACAGTTATTTTCCTTACGCAGATACACCTCCACGGAATGAACTTTGAAGGTCTGCACAAGGAACTGCCCGCTGATACGCTGCCGGAAGAGTACGGAGGCAGCGGACCCGCCTTGGACTTCGAAGCCTTTTGGAGCCTCCTGGATGCGCAGGAACCGTCGTTCGTTCAAAACAATGGCTACGGATATCTCAAAACAAAGAAGAAAGGAACGAGATCGCCGAAGTAAACGGGATAGAATTGTCCTCTCTATTGCAGGACACCCGCCACTTTTCTGATAAGTAAAGGGAACACCAACGAAAAGGCACAAATTCTCCATTCACACGACCCTATAAAGCTACCTTCAACTAAGGGACCTTCATTCTCTGCGACCAATCAATTAACGATCTTCCGCGCGTGGCATGTGCTCGCGACCCAAGAGCACGGGCTGATTCGCCGACAGCAAAGAGACCTTTGTTAAACATACCTTTATGTTTACCGTGTGAATGGGGTATAAGCAGGCAATAAAGACACAAGTTTAAATCAACGGTGATTTCCGTAAGAATTTATGTGCTGGTTAATTTTTGTCGTCACACGACAATGTCATTGTATCATCAAACCAAGGGACGTCGATTTTTCGTTGTCGCTTTTCTGTCAGTCATTGTCGTTTGCTTGGTGAGGAAATGACACCAAGATGCCGACATCTAGTGTTCAATATTCGGTTTTTGTGTTTGTGTGATACATTCGCACGAGCACATAAACATTAACACACGCGTGGTCGCTCGTTGATAAACTTCTGCTCTTGCACTAGAGCGAGAATGCTCTGTTCTTGTTATGCTGTCCCCATTTATTAGGGAAATAAAAGAAGTAGAAACATTCGTGCTTTATCACAAGCTCTATTTATTCTTAAAGTAAGTAAGTTTCGCATGCCTTAAAACATCGCTAATGCTTCCTCTCCCTCAGAATGAGCCTGACACAAAGGTTTTCAATTTAGTAATTAATGTCACGTATCACACGAACCTCGCCTGACCGATTCTAGTACGTTAGATCCGTTCCCCTGGAGGCATAAAACACGAAGTGGGAAAGGCGCTCCTGAGTGATTTCACGTCAGTTCATACAATGATGGTCCGGGTCATACTTTTGCCATTTTTGTTAAACCTACAAATGAAAGCCATGCTCTTGGGAGTATTCAATACACATGAACGCCGTAACAATTGTTTTTTCGCTGGGATAGAAAATCGAGAAGCTCGAAGCGTGGAAATTGAGATTTCACGATGCTACTTTGCACAGTCGTCATTTTCTCATCGAAGCTTTCATGTCACCATAACCTTTTTAATACATTTCACGAAAGATATAGAGCACATACACAAAACGTAAAAAAAAATCAATGAAATATATCTATGCCAACAAAAAATCAAACATGGCGTAAAAACGCGTTTTAGAGACGTATCCACAATTTTGTTGCCAAAGAAACTATCTTTTCTAATACTTCACATAACATGTTAAGATGCGCTATTTTAAATTATCTTTACGCATAGATAAAGATAATATGCCCACCCTTAATTGTATAATTGTTATTAACGCGGAAATGCAGCTGATTTCTCAAAATGTGGCAAGACTGGGCGTCAATTATAAAAAAAAAACTTTTTTTTAAAACTTTTTTGGCACTTTGCAGTGACTTGAACTAACTTACGATGGCAAAACATTGAGTAACAAATTACTTCAAACAAAACAAGCTACCACAAACCTTCACTGGGAGCGGGCAGACGTTTTCGTCATAGCGGCACAATATTTTATGTTGTTCAAAAAGCGGAGATGTGTGCGCGTCATAGTCGGAACTATTTTTTGGGCGGACAAGTTTCTTTTGAAGTAGGTGTAGGTGTTATGTGTTTGGTTTTGTTGTCTGACCACTTACAAAAAAGCGGTAGTCTACCTTAAACTATGTTAAAGTATAATAATAATAATAATAATAATAATAATAAATTTTATTCACATCATAAACATAATACATATGCAGGCCCGCAAAAGCACTGGTATGCTTGTATGCGGGACCTGGCGTCCAGCGGGCTGCTACACTGAAATCCTCCTATTGTGTGCATTACTGGCACACATAAAATAAGTACATAAATAAATGAATTAAAATCAGACAAGAAGAAAAGAGACAAAACTCAGTGGACTGCTAAAGCAATAAAGCCAAATTAAATTTCAAAATTCAAACACCACTCCTCTAAATCATATTTGACTTGTTTCAGCGACTCCATGTTATAATAGGTGTCTGGAAGCCTATTAAAATAAAATGGGACGTAATATTCCCGTGTTTTTTTTTCCATAGTTTGTATAAATCTTAGGAATAACAAAACGTTCTTTGCGCCTAAGTGTTCGTTCTTTTTCTAATACGATTTTAAAGTTGCTTTTATAATAGTGCTTTACTAAAATAACATAACAATGTAGTTTCTCTATGGATAACAAATTTAAGACATTCATTTTCCTATTAATTTCCAACTCAGAGTAGGGTGTTCCATAGGTAATATTAATTGCAATTTTATGTAGTATTTTGTCAAGTTTTTCTTTTTTATAATTAGAACACACTCCATATAAAGAAATCCCATATCGGAGAATAGACTCACCCAGTGCACCATACACCCTCCTTCGTAATGACAATGTCGCTACACTACGCATCGTATACAAATAAACCGAGACAACACGCATTCTTTTGATGAGATATTCTACATGCTCATTCCATAGGAGATGTTGGTCGAGATGTAATCCTAAATATTTAGTTGTTGTAACATAATCTAATGCTACACAACTGCACCGTGTGCAGTTCTGTGAATGGAGAAATAACGGAGTGATGGCGTATGAAGGTGATACTGTAGCCAATCCGGTAATAAATGATTCACAAAGAAAAGTAAGCCTGTCGATCTAGAGGTTTCAATATTTATTCTGATGACATGGTGCGTCCAGTTCATGAGCTCGCTAAATCCCACTCCAACGAATTTGTGGTTATTTACACGCTCAATTTCGGAGCTGACAAACGTTAGTTTGATGTCTTCTAAAATGGCCTAGTTTATTGAGGAAAAATAAAATATTTTATTGCTTTGTCTTTAAAGATAAGCCATTTGCTTTCAGCCTGGATCGATGAGAGTGCAGATAAATACTTCTTGGTTGTAATTTTTAGCTCTTTAACCTTGGCTCTCGAAAAGAACGGATTTGTCTAGTCCGCCTGTGAAACAAGTCTTCGGTAAATGTAATGTTAAACATATCATTATGCATCAAAAAGAGCAAAGGTTAAAGTTTTGAGCCATGTGGAACGCCACAGTTTCTAAAACCTGAAGACGCTTTTATGTTGTTATACCCTGTGTTTTGCCTGCGTGATGTAAGAGAATTTGTGATCAGTTTACGTGCAGTTCCCCGTATACCATATGTATTATGCTCTAAAAGAAGTATGTCCTGTTTGATGTAATGACAGGCTTTACGAAAATCAATGAACAAAACAATCATGAAAAGCTGATTCTTAATACTATGAATTATTTGGTCGCGAACGTGCAAAAAGGCGAGTTTAAGTTGTTTTTTTCTTCTGGAATTAATATTAATTTACCACGTAAAAAATCTCTGAAACCTCTCGTTTATTATTCACGCTTGGTAGAAATTAGGGTTCCCGTCAGTTTCTATGAGATAATTCACCAACACGTAGAAGGTTGCGAATTAAGAGAACAAGCATGAAAACCAGACATAAATCGAAAACAAATCTTAAAATACCTTTGCACAGTTGTTGGAACGTTACGTGTTGTCTTGCGACACCGGAAAGGGGTATACTTATGCAGGGGCGGATGCAGGAATTTCCTGAGAGGGGGGGGGGGGGGGGTTCAGGTGTTGGTCAACGTATCATATGTTTAGGAGCCCCCTCCCCCTCTCCCTCGTATAACGCCCTAAATTTTACACATGCAGAAATCAAGAGGGGGGTCAGGACATCCGGACCCCCCCCCCCCCCCCCCTCTATATCCGCCCCTGTACTTATGCACTTAACGTCACTCACAATTTTACGCTGCAAAAACAGCTTTGGGATATAGCCGAAAGTAGATATAACCGAACCTGGCATACTATTTGCCAGATAATCATTTAAGTCAATATTCGACTGAAGCATCATTGCTGACGTTACTAATCTGTAATAAGCATACAATTATTTTTCACAAAATATAATGCTCTTCCGTGAATAGAATTATCATAACAAGGAGCTTCGATTTAACAAAAGTTTAAGTCTTATTTTGATTTGACCTCAGGGCGAGAAGTTACACATCCCCCCCTCCTCCCCCCCCAGCCTTACTTCAACGTCGTGCGTTCCTGGGGGATCGGTTCTGGGCCTTCTTTAATTTCCCTTTGTTTAAATGATATAGTGTTGTGTGTTCAAAGTTCTCAGTTGCTGCTTTTGGATAATGATATTAATTTGTTTTTAAAAATATCTGTCCTTAGTAGAGTGCAACATATTACAATGTATGCTTATGTGGCACAAACATAGCGAATAAATGCTGCTGAACCATAAAAAAAGGAAAGTGCTCTTGTTTTGCCCGACGTACTCTTCTTACCTACACATATCATCTTAATGGAATGCCAGTGCCTGAGAATAACTCTTTCAAAAGATCTGGGCGTGTGTTCAAATAGTGCCTTAACATTTAAATAAAACCATGTCTCTTTTATTGCGGTCAGCGCGATGAGAATATTGGGGGTCGTTTCAGGCTTGCGTCTAAATTTAAGAAACCCTTATAGCTTGATAAATATTTTCAACTCTTCAGTAAGGTCCCTGCTTCAATTTGTATCCGTGATATGGAATTCGCTTTCGAAAACACAAGCCATGAATATTAAACACGTTCCGAAAAAAAGAAATCCGTAAAATTTATGACAAGTATTTAGAACGACCTTTTAAATACTCAATTTTACATATGTCAAAAAGAAAGGAGCTTCGGGGCTGAGTTACATAAAGTTGCATGTAGTGCCATTTATTTTTGCATACTTTTACTCCAAGCTTGCACCACCTAGCCGCACTTGATTAAAAAATTGCAATGCGATCCGCTGAGAGACTGATTTTTGCAGGCCGTCAAAGTGAGTTCAGAGCATTAGTGTACACGCTGTAGTTACAGTGAGTGCTAACTATTAGAAAAAAGGGTCAGTATAGTCCTCCCTAAAGGGAGGAACGCTCTTGACACAAATGTTCCTTCAGAAAGGGAGAAACTTTCGTTCCTTAAGCAGGGGAGCAAAAGTTCCTCCGTCGACTGCATCTCATTATGGCGGCCACGAATCGAGCAAATCGAGCTCGATAAGGCTTAAC